GATAATAATCAGAAATGTTTCTTGAGCAGCAAATCAGCATATTAGAATTATTTCTGAAGATCATGTGACACTGAAGACTGGAGTAATGATGCTGAAAATTACATTCACAAATACATGATCATAGCTTTGATCACAGAAATAAATTACATTAACTTATATTCACATAGAAAACAGCTATCTTATGCAATAATGTTTCAAATTTGTACAAGTATTTTTGACCAAATAAATTAATCCTAGGTGAGCAGAAGAGATCTTGTGCACCAAATGTCTCTTTTATGTTACTGTGAAATAAATAAAACTTAACGTAGAGTCACATGGTTCAATTCCTAATAATACCAATGTTTAAAAAACCCACAGATTTAGACTCAACGAAGGCCACCAGGAGATGTTGAACACATGGCAACACATCAGACTCATATAGTAACACATGCACACACACCCCACAGGCAGCACTACAACACACTGCACACATCCTCCAGATGCCACCTTACAAGGTCACATGGAAAAAAAACAACCCTCAGATACATATGCATGCTCAAGGTCAAGGGTCAAAGGTCAGGCACCAGCCTCAGGGCAGACAGTAAACAGTACATGTGAACATTAGTGGACAGTAACAAAGTATTTTTAACTCAGAGTATCAGAGTATTTCCATCCTGACAAAATGTTACTTTTACGCCACTATCTACAAACACACTGTTCTGCATTATTTCAGGGCAAAATGAATAATAATGACATCTGATTAGTGAAAGAACAAAAACAAAACAAAACACAAAACAAAAAGACACAAAACAAAAAACACACAAAAAAACTAAACAAAAAAATGTGTATCATTCGATCATTCGTTTTTTGATTCAATATTGAAAGTATAAAAATGAGAAAACAGCTCCTTTTTCGTTTTTTTTCGTTTTTTTCCAAAAAACGAGAATTCAGCTTAAATTTTCGTTTATGGGTGGAAAAATGAATAAACAGCTTGAATACTCGATTTCTACATGTGGGCGGGAATTACACGCCTCTTTCTGCTGATTGGTCAGCCGAATATCAAACTGTGCCGTCATCAGTTCTTCCGCAGTATCATGCAGCAGAATAATAGTCCTCCACTGCTGCAGTTGTATTAATAACCCATTTTATCTATTTCATATTTTTCTCATCAAACAGACTAATGAATAGCTCGACACAACTCGTACCGGGGCAGCGTCTAGACAGGTCTTTCTTCTGTGTAGACCAGCGGTTCTTAAAGTGATGGGGGTCCAGGAAATAATTAGCTATAGCCTAAAGTATTTCCAGACTGTAAAGTCGCTTTTTTTATCATGATACATAGGCCTACTGTGATTTATTCCAAAGTGACTTATATGATGCATTTAACTTCAAATAATCTAAATGAAGCCTTTTAAAAGACAAGTATTCCCTGTGGTTCATGTTTGTGGAAGCAGCGCATTCTGTTGATCTCTTTATTTTTCAAAGGCATGACATTTTGTAGTTATTTTGAACGTAACGTTACACAATTAAAAATATACATTTTAACATACGACTATAAATGACAGAGTATTAAGTTATTTCCTCTCGATGGGGAACAAAATCCAAGTGAGCATCAATCAGTACTCAATATTAATTTAAACTTTTAAATATGACTGCTGCTTATTTCCTGTGCACTTCAATACTGGTCTGCGCTTGCGCTGCGTCTGTCTGCTTATGGAGTTTATTTAAC